ATGCTCACTAGATGGTGTGAGGGGCCCCAGAACCATCCCAAAGAGCCCAGGGCAGACACAGATAGAACTAGAGATGTAGATATCTAATGACCGACAGCAGCCCCACAGGTCCGCAGTTACTATAATGAATGAAACTCCATTTAAGTCCCAATACGGATAAAAATAAAAACCTGCTGTGTGAATGTTTGGGTGGAGTGAGGAACACTTTCTACTTTTCTCTTCCTTATTTCGTTAGACCAGTTAGGTCTAGGAACAAGGTGTGAATGGAGGTTTATGGTTATACTGGGAGATCTGGTGAACTGGAAAGTCCCTTGAGATGGGACGTGTTGTGAATTGGCGCTATAGAAATAAACTGAATTGAATTGTGACATTACCTCATTTAACATTGTCTAATTAATCAAAACAAGGCTGATTGTGGTTTTATTTTGGCATCCATTGAGAAATACTCAGGCTTCTGCTGGAAAAGGGGCTTAAATTCAAATTTTCTCACAGTGATTTTTAATCTCTAAACTGAAAAAAGTAAAAGATTTAATATTTCCCTCTATGTGGAATAAATGAATTCTTCTCCTGTTTAGCTCTACAGATTAACCTGGTGGTCCAGGTTCAGTGTGGAGCCTCGCATCGACCTCACGCCCCCTCAGACAGCGCCTGACCCCGTGGACAGCATCAGCCCAGGAAGGGAACAGCCTACATGGAAGAGAGTAGCTCTGCGTCTCTGCGGCCTGAATCAAACGTCACAATCAGCAGCACCAAACACAGAGCAAACCGATCTGCACTTCCTGCACGAGGAGTCAGTCTGGAGGAGAGTCTGCAACTTTAATGCTCTGCTGCTGCTGGCGGTCAACGTCTTTCTCTGGGGATACTTTGCATGAAGTTTGATTTCCAACTGTGATGGATGATTACAAAATCATTTTGCTCTTCAGTCCTCTGGTTGCTTCTCCTCATGAATTGAGATGTTTCAGTCTTTAAAATGACTTTAAACTTTTAGAATGAATGCAGAAACCGCGAAAAAGTGAAACGGCAGGAAGGTGATTTCTTTTAACAATGACTTTTATTCAGTCAGACATCTGGGGGGGGGGGGGGGGGGGGGGGGGCACACCTGTCACCCCCAGAGGCGACTGTCATCAAACCTCAGCCTGCAGAACAGTGGCTGCTCTCTGTCTCTTTACCCGGGCGCCATCTCTGCCGGATCGGCCGCCTCCAGAACCAGAACCACCATGCAAACCAGGGGAGCCGCTCTTCAACAGGACCCAGGGATTACGACAAAGCAGTCTGGGGCCCAAAAGTGTTAGTGGCCATCTGCAGCCAGCCCTCTGGGCCCCTGGTAAGGCACAGAACCACCAGCAGACAGGAGCTGCTCTCCTCGGCTTGCTCCCATGGAGGATCATGGTATCGTTCTTATACCCTCCTGGCTGACTGAAATATATTATAAATGTTTGAATAAAAGTCTTCTCGGATGAAATGATTGATTTCTCATCATAGATGATGAATAATGTGGGTTATGTCAGTAAAATATTAACCAATACATACAGGACTGACTTTGGCTCTTGAATATAATTGGCTGAGTTGGCTGGCTCAGCTTTCATGCTTTTGCACAACCCTTTATTTCAAAACATGAGTTTGGTATCTACGGGTTCAGAATGAATTAATTCCAGATGAAGTTGTTTGCAAAGCGTTTTTCCTGTGAAGTTGAACATAGAAGCTCTGATCTGTAAATACTTTCTATGGTAGAAAGGCTAAAGGAAAGCTAGCTCCACAGGTGAAAAAGGTCCGGGAAAAAAACAGTTAACCAGACGAGCTCTGAGTCAGTTTTCATGTCAAAGAATGAAAGAGAGAAAATCCAGTTAGTCCCAGTAAAAGCTGAGGCCAGAGCTGTAGGAGAGAAACAGGACCAAACCCTGAAAAACAGGCTTTTTTTATCCATGTCATGGTTCTTCAGTTCCAAGCCTTGGGTTTTTCATTTTTTATTTTTCAAAGAGTGAGAGCCCACCCCTCAGTAAAACAGATCAATCTTTATGTTTTCCTCCTGTAGAAAACTCTTCTACATTTTAAGTCAGAAAAGGAAGGCTGATTAAAGTGACACCATGGATGGGAGATTCTGGTTAGTGAATCGGGAAACTGGAGATAATGATCAGCAGCTTTAATGCAGCTCCAGACACAGAACATGGTCCATAACAGGCCGAGATGCATAATTACAGGTGAAATAGATGCTACATGCTGGGCTTATGGAGGATATGACAGACATGGGCAATGTGGAGTCAACAAGTCATCTCCATGTCATGTATTTAATCTACCCAGCCACTGAAGCAGGTGAGTCCAATCTGCACAGGTTAATTCAGGGTGAAGATTGGACTCACCTGCTTCAGTGGCTGGGTAGAACAAAGACACGACATGGAGATGACTTGTTGACTCCACATTGCCCATGTCTGGCATATGAGTATGGCCTGGAAAAGGGAACACACATAAAAGTGCTTATGAGCCAAATTAGGATTCTCACTAAACATTTCAGCAAACAGCTCCAGAAATAAAAAAAATTTAACCTAATTCCCAGCAAGCTTCATACAAACACTGCTGGATCAGTAGCAATAACAGAAGCCATGCAGCTTCAAATACAGCAACTCTACGCAGCAGCAGTATTACCTGAATTACTATTAGCAACAAATGCTAACCGGCGTTAGCAATCACAGCAGCTAACCAGAACAGCAGGAAAAACACAAATATGGTGCAGATTACTGATTCACACTATAATGATATTAATACAGAACTAATATCTAATATTTATTTATTACGCACACAAATATCCACCATGAAGAAAAAAGACTCTGTGTCACACTGATAGCGGCCCAGGTGGAAACAAAAACACTAAACTAGGTTCTCTCTCAGTCTTCCTAACGCCTCTCAGAGAGGCAGAAGCATTGAAGGAGGGGGGGACACCATCACAGAGGAGGGCTGCATGGAGACAGTTCGCCGTTTCCAGTCCTTTATCAGCTGGCCTTGGAGCAGAACTGGACCGTCAGTCTTCTTTGACTCCAACTCCTTAAACGCAGTCGTTACAGAAATAGATGCTAAAGGACAGGAGCCACCTCCACTAAAGAGAAAACATGGAGAATGAAACACATCCTCATTAAACAGGATGTAATTAATCAGGGATGAGAATTTTCCCCCTCAGTGTCCTGCAGCTTTTAGATACGTCTCTGCGTCCACAATCCTGAATCAAACGGCTGCTGATGACTGGATTATTCTAATCCGCTGAAGCAGAGACATGGCTGCTGTTCACAGGAACTACCTGGCCTGATGGGCGGAGCTTCTTAGGAGCATCCGCAGCCATCGTCGCCCTCTAGAGCAGCGTTCCCCAACCTTTTTTACGCCACGGCCCGGATATTTGTCAGACAATATTTTTACGACCAGCCTTTAAAGTGTGGGGGGTAAATATGATAAAATAAAATGATACGACTGGCATAAAATCAAACACAAACAGCATAAAAATAAAACTCACCATTATATTGAATTAGTGGGAGCCCTGAGCTTGTTTCTGTGAAATAAGCCGGTCCCATCGAGGCGTAATCGGAGACAATGACAGACGAAGTGTGTTCCTGATGTCCAGTCTGCTCCGTAGCTTTGTTATGTTCGCTGTAACCGCAGAAAATCACGCTTCACAAAGATAAGGTGTTATAGATAGGATGAGCCTTGACCTGAATTAACCTGTGTCAAGAGGCACAGATGCACCGACTGATGGAATTGGGAGAGAATACAATTTTTTTATATTTTTCAAAATAAAACATCACTCTGACTCTGATCGTCGATAAATTATATATATTTTTTCTGTGCGGCCCGGTACCAAATGACCGACGGACCGGTACCGGTCCGCGGCCCGGTGGTTGGGGACCACTGCTCTAGAGGATGTTTCTCCATAGAAGGCATATATGCTGGGAATGATGGGTGGATTAGAGGCAGCTGAAGTCTGGCCTATGGATAAGGGATACATCAGCAAATAAAAACAGTTCAATAAATGCCCAGTGAATGTAAAGCCTCTTTTCACAGGTTCTATTAATTCTGGCTCTACGTCACTCAGTCTGCCTAAAAGAGTTTCTGTTACTGTTTTTCTGCATCTCCCACTGGCTTCTCTCTACCTGAACTGGAAATGGGACTTAAACCAGCAGCTTATTGACCAGCCATACGAGCAACTAGAAATGACCACAGATCTCAGACATAGAATTTTACTATTTGCACATCATCATCATCATCATCATCATCCATGGCTGAAGATAAAAGGATGTAACGGTCTGTTGGGTTTAATGAAGCTCTGTGGATTCAGAGGCTGGTTTCCTGACGTGATGCAGGCCATCGGTAGGATGCTCCCTTTATCACTAGAAGAAAACCGCAGCATCCCTATAAGCAGCTCTGTGTTTCCATGGATCAGGAACATCCAGATGTTTAATGTTTATTACTCCAGTTTAAATTCTACTTTTTAAAAACACTTATACAGAAGTTAGAGGATCAACTTCAGCGTTTTAATCCAGTAAAAGAAGCTTTGCTGCTCTACCCTATTAAAGGAACATTTTTCTATAATTCTGGATGATAACTTCCTTAGACTAAATTTTCTTAGTTTTATAACTAATGGTAACAAAATCACATTTAACTTTGCATCATCTTGAAAAACGACTTATTTTCGTATGTGGTGAGCAACAAGTTGGGGCAGCACCGAGTCCAACCACAAAGAAATTCATTGTCTGAATGAAACTAATTGTTTAGATGGTTTTTATTTTGTTTAATACCAACAGGCCATAATGAAAATGAGCTTAAATGAAACCAAACTAATGAGTCTGAAAAGTTGTCTAAAGATCCTTATTTCTTGGCTCAGCCGGTGATCCCGCCACTTCATTTATGTCAATAAATATTAAATCCTGTTATTTTAGCGGGTTTTAATCCTGGTAAATGAGTGGTTGTCATTTTCTTGGTTTCAGATAAAGTTTGTTTAAAAAAAAACTGAGAGTGAGTCACCTGACCAGCTGAGCTCTACAGGAAGAGGATCCTCTCAACATGGCCGCCGCCTGCTAACTGGGAGCTGTCTGAAGCTGTCCTCCATCATGGCCCACTGTCTGCTGTCCGTCAACGAGTTCATCCAGGACTCGTTTGTCCCGATGATAGCCGTGTTAGGCAGCAGCGAAGCGGAGAGAGTCTGCCGGAAGAACAGCTTGAATTTAGCCGAGTTGCTGAGGCCCTTCTGCCGCCTGACATCTGAAGGTATGAGCGGCCCGCTCGCTGATGGACCAGCCGCCCAGGGAGCGGCTTTAGCGGGGCGGCTGGCTGACAGAGCCGGTAGCTGGATGCTAACAGCGTTAGCATGGCTGCTAAGCTAGTTAGCTTTCTCTCTCTGATCACTCACCAGTATGCTGTCCTCTGAAACCTGTTTTTCCAGTAAATCGTTACTGGTTTGGTCTCTAACCAGTTTAACCTCCGTGGAGATGGTGCTCAGGAGCAGAACCTAGATCTACAGGAGAAGAAATGGTTTCCACTTCTAGCTGCTGCAGATCTAAGATCTCTGACATCATGTCAGCTGGATGGATGAGGAGCAGAGAAACCTGCTACTGGGATGGTGTTACTGGGAGAGCTGGCTGGGAACAGACCTGCTGGGATGGTGTTACTGGGAGAGCTGGCTGGGAACAGACCTGCTGGGATGGTGTTACTGGGAGAGCTGGCTGGGAACAGACCTGCTGGGATGGTGTTACTGGGAGAGCTGGCTGGGAACAGACCTGCTGGGATGGTGTTACTGGGAGAGCTGGCTGGGAACAGACCTACTGGGATGGTGTTACTGGGAGAGCTGGCTGGGAACAGACCTACTGGGATGGTGTTACTGGGAGAGCTGGCTGGGTACAGACCTACTGGGATGGTGTTACTGGGAGAGCTGTCTGGGAACAGACCTACTGGGATGGTGTTACTGGCAGAGTCGGCTGGGAACAGACCTACTGGGAGAACTGGCTGGGAACAGACCTACTGGGAGAGCTGGCTGGGAACAGACCTACTGGGATGGTGTTACTGGGAGAGCTGTCTGGGAACAGACCTACTGGGATGGTGTTACTGGGAGAGCTTTCTGGGAACAGACCTACTGGGATGGTGTTACTGGGAAAGCTGATTTTGGGAACAGACCTACTGGGATGGTGTTACTGGGAGAGCTGCCTGGGAACAGACCTACTGGAATGGTGTTACTGGGAGAGCTGCAGGATGCTGGAAACAGCTGATTGCTGCCATTGGTCCTTGGCAGCAGACCTCCTCATCATTTCCGTCTAACCAGCAGGGCTTTCCAAAGCTGCCAATTCTGATGACCTCATCACTTTGATTCCTGCTAGAAGGATTTCTGATGGCGCCAACGTGTCACCAGGTGTCTCAGCGACGCTGTTCTCCGTTTGCTTGCTCTATGAATCCATAACAGATCCTCCTGGATGTGGCGTGACTCCAGATCCTGGCTAGCTGTGCTAGCTGAGGAGAGGCGTCCGATCGGTGGACTGGGGGAGGCGTCCGATCGGTGGACTGGGGGAGGCGTCCGATCGGTGGACTGGGGGAGGCGTCCGATCGGTGGACTGGGGGTGCGTCCGATCGATGGAGTGGGGGTGCGTCCGATCGGAGGACTGGGGGTGCGTCCGATCGATGGAGTGGGGGTGCGTCCGATCGGTGGACTGGGGGGTGCGTCCGATCGGAGGACTGGGGGTGCGTCCGATCGGCGGACTGGGGGTGCGTCCGATCGGTGGACTGGGGGTGCGTCCAATCGGAGGACTGGGGGTGCGTCCGATCGGAGGACTGGGGGTGCGTCCGATCGGTGGACTGGGGGTGCGTCCGATCGGTGGACTGGGGGTGCGTCCGATCGGTGGACTGGGGGGGGCGTCCGATCGGAGGACTGGGGGTGCGTCCGATCGGTGGACTGGGGGTACGTCCGATCGGTGGACTGGGGGTGCGTTCGATCGATGGACTGGGGGTGCGTCCGATCGGAGGACTGGGGGAGCGTCCGATCGGTGGACTGTGGGTGCGTCCGATCGGTGGACTGGGGGTGCGTCCGATCGGAGGACTGGGGGTGCGTCCGATCGGAGGACTGGGGGAGCGTCCGATCGGAGGACTGGGGGAGCGTCCGATCGATGGACTGGGGGTGCGTCCGATCGGAGGACTGGGGGAGCGTCCGATCGGTGGACTGGGGGTGCGTCCGATCGGAGGACTGTGGGTGCGTCCGATCGGAGGACTGGGGGTAGGGATGGGAATCGAAAACCGGTTCCTGTTCAGAACCGGTTCCGTATTTTCCGATTCCATGGCATCGTTTGGCAGCTCGCTGACGATTCTTTTTTCGATTCCCGCAGCACCAGAGCCTAGAGCGCCGGCTCTGGGGAGCACGACTTACGTCACGTTTTTTACGTAAGTTACGCAGGTTACGCAAGTTGGAAGAACTATTCGAGGAGGAAGACAACGAGCTGCGGTCACTTTGTGAATCAAAGCCCCGTCTTTCCTTAGCCCAGAGGGTAGATCAGGAAATCCAGCTCTGTAAAAGCTTGCCCTCCATCCCCTGCAGGGATAGCGCCACACTGTGGTGGTGGAACAAGCAAGATACGCTGCCCTTGCTATCTGGACGGGCTGAAAACTACCTCTGTGTGCAGGCTTCCTCCACCCCATCTGAGAGGGTGTTCTCCACGGCTGGAGACACCATAAGCCCTGAAAGATCCCGTATCCTTCCAGAAAAAGCAGATATGCTCATCTTTCTGCAAAATAACTGTTAATTTTCCCTACTACTGTTTTATAATTAGTATTTTTTGTTATTTAAAATAGGTTATTATCCCATCATTTGTTATTAGACATTGTTGGTTATTAAGTTTGTTCTTGTATATTTATTTTTCATTTAAACACAGATGTTACTCCAGTTTCACATTTCCTGTGGACATCTTGATCTTGTTGAGTTTGTAAGATTGTGCAATAGTTACGTAAACAAAGTTGATTCTGATAATCAAACTGTTTGTTCTCCTTTTCCCCCAAATTGGAATCGAAAAAAGAATCGATAAAGAATCGAATCGTTTCATAGAATCGAAAAGGGAATCGGAATCGTGAAAATCTTTTCAATTCCCAACCCTAACTGGGGGTGCGTCCGATCGGTGGACTGGGGTGCGTCCGATCGGTGGACTGGGGGTGCGTCCGATCGGTGGACTGGGGGTGCGACCGATCGGTGGACTGGGGGTGCGTCCGATCGGCGGACTGGGGGTGCGTCCGATCGGCGGACTGGGGGTGCGTCCGATCGGAGGACTGGGGGTGCGTCCGATCGGTGGACTGGGGGTGCGTCCGATCGGTGGACTCGGTGAGGCGTCCGATCGGAGGACTGGGGGTGCGTCCGATCGGAGGACTGGGGGTGCGTCCGATCGGGGGACTGGGGGTGCGTCCGATCGGTGGACTGGGGGTGCGTCCGATCGGTGGACTGGGGGTGCGTCCGATCGGTGGACTGGGGGTGCGTCCGATCGGTGGACTGGGGGTGCGTCCGATCGGTGGACTCGGGGAGGCGTCCGATCGGAGGACTGGGGGTGCGTCCGATCGGAGGACTGGGGGTGCGTCCGATCGGTGGACTGGGGGTGCGTCCGATCGGTGGACTGGGGGTGCGTCCGATCGGTGGACTGGGGGTGCGTCCGATCGGTGGACTCGGTGAGGCGTCCGATCGGAGGACTGGGGGTGCGTCCGATCGGTGGACTGGGGGTGCGTCCGATCGGTGGACTCGGGGAGGCGTCTGATCGGAGGACTGGGGGAGGCGTCCCTGATGCTCTGATTGGATTTTGTCTCTGATAATGATCCAGTTGCTCCATTCCATATATTTCTATTTGTATTGATATCACACAGCAGCACAGCGACAGGGATCTATTGACTGTAGCTCTACAGCCTCATTTCCTCTACCCTTTAGAAAACATGCTGACATGGGTCCGAGCACAGTGACCAACCGTTAGTGTAAATTGAACGCACAGCTGAATGTTACGGCGCCACCGTGTTTGTTTCCCTCTAGAGAGCAGTAGTACCGTAGATCACCACTAGGAGCCGAGGCACAGCGCTAGCGTGGCGTGGAAAAGGTTTCAGAGGGTAGAAATGGGGTATATGATCCATTTCTATGTTTCCATTTCTATGTTCCCATTTAGACAGATTTATTTTGTCATTTTGTTTTCATGAGTGTAAACAAAAAGAAATTTAAAAGAAGCTTAGACTGATGACATCAGAGGCGTTCTGTCCGACCCGGACATAGTTCATTCTGATCAGAACCTTGTACCGGGTCGGTGCCTTGTATCCCCCCATGGATGGGATTGGACGGGGATCAGTCGGGTCGCTGCCTCATGGTCGTTCCAGAAGGTCTGATTGGACGTCTGTGTCTCCAGGTCACATCAGGGATCCCAACAATCAGCTCCAGACGGTGAAAAACCTGCGGATCTGCATCAACAACATAGAAACGTCCACTGGCCAAGGCTCCGCCCACAACCGGCTGCTCAGTGAGGTGGTGCTCTCCTGTCAGCCACAGGAGGGCGCTGCAGCCACCGTCATCAGAACCGCAGAATATCATTTGAACCTAGGCGGTGAGTACATGATCGGGTTCTGGTTCAAGTGCTGGTGTGGGTGGGACTAAACCAGTAACCGTGTGTGTGTGTGTGTGTGTGTGTGTGTGTGTGTGTGTGTGTGTGTGTGTGTGTGTGTGTTCAGGGACCACGCCCTGGTTCGAGGCCTACAGGGAGGCCTTCCTGCAGACCATGCCTCCCTCTGACCATGAGTTCCTCCATCACTACCTGGCCTGTATCCTTCCAGTTCCAGGATCCATAACTGTCTCTGCTTCTAGTTTGGTTCCAGTCTCTAGAAAGATTTCTATTATTTCTATGTTCTATAGATCCTAAATCATTAAAAGTAAAGTCACTTTTCCTCTGCATTAATGAGAGGATCAGCAGCCTGTGACCTCTGACCTCTGCTCTGTCAGCCCCTGCTTTGCTCCTTGACGTGCTCCAGGCCTGCTGGTGGTGTCGTCCTCCGAGGCGGTCCCGGTGGAGCAGTTCCTGAAGCTGTCCCAGGAGCAGCACAGGATCCAGCACAGCGGGGAGTACTCCTGCCCAAAGTGGTTCATCCCCAACACTCTCAAGTACTACGTGTTGCTGCACGACCTGAGCGAGGGAGATGAGCAGAGGTAGATGCTGCTGCAGCTGCTGATGGTTTCATTCATTCATCCATTCATTCATTCATCCAGAAAGACGTTTGCTTTCCTTCCAGGGCGGACATGGTGTATGAAGACATGAAGCAAAGGTACGGCCCTCAGGGATGCTACCTGTTGAAGATCAACTCTCGCTCCTCTTCGCCTGAGGAGGGGGAGCAGATCCCAGACCCCTGGAGTCAGTACCTGCACAAGCAAAACCCCCGGAACCAGGTGAGACCCCCCCCTCCCCACTGGGACCTACAGCAGCTGATTCTAATCCACAGATTTACTCTGAATCTTCAATTTTTATAGATTTCTTAGATTCATTTTTCTTTAGCGCTTTTTACAGACCAGGTTGTCCTCAGAGAAAAACAGATTATTAGCCTTCTTAGCTCAGAACCAGAACCGCACGGGTTTAAAGCTGCTGGGTCCACAGAGGCCTCCTCAGGAGCCCACCTGACTCTCAGAAGCTTCTCCAGGGTTTCACCTCCTGAACCCAAATCAGCCAGCGAACCTTTAGCTCTGGACGAGCAGCAGGCCCGTCCCGTTTCCCATCACTGTTTCAGGTCCAGTCAGCTCAAAGGATCAGCATTCCAGTGATGTCATCCTCCCAGCTCTGCAAACTCACACCTGTAGCCTGCAGGTTGACAGGAACCACAGGGACTTTATCATCGCCTCAGAATTAAACTAAAGCGGGAATCACAGAAGGATTTGATGAAAAGAGAAAAAATCATCAGCTGAAGTAAAGGAGTTCCTTCCTGATGTTTTCATATGTTTTCCTGATGTGGTGCTCGTTGCAGGACTCGATGGAACCTGCTGCTAATGCTGCTGCTCCTCTGGGCGTTCCTCCTGAGGCCGACTGCAGGGATTCAGCAGAGAGAGGTCGGTTCATTCCTCTGACAGGACCTTTATCTTCAGTCGATGGACTTTCATGGTTTAAACCCAGTTTAGACAGAAGAGATTTCACTCCAGGTTTAAATTAACCGATAAATAAAGGCAGGAATTAAAGGCATCTTCTCATGTAGTTTCAGCTTTTATCAAGTTGCAGCAATTTTTGAAATCTACATAAATAGACCAGAAGAAGCTAATCTGCCCGTCTGCAGCAGCCGGAGCTAACATTAATTCTATTCAGTTTATTTCTATAGCTCCAATTCACATCATGTCATCTCAGGTCACTTTCCAGTTCACCAGATCATCCAGTCAGATTGATTCAAAGTTTTCTATCTAAGGAAAACCAGCTGATTGCATCGACTCATTGACTCTTCAGCAATCCCTCACACTAAGCATGCTTGTAGCGACAGTGGAGAGGAAAAACTCCCTTTGAACAGGAAGAAACCTCCAGCAGAACCAGGCTCAGTGTGAGCGGCCATCTGCTGAGGCCCACTGGGGTTCAAGGAGACAGAAGCAGACATAGAAAAAGAAGCATAGATACAAAAGGCAACTGTCAACCAGCTCCACAGGCGGCCCCGTCCAGGAAACACACAGCCAGGCAGACGAGCTCCGAGCCAGCTCCCATGTCAGAGGATGAAGAGAGCACATCCAGTTAGTCACAGTCAGAGAAACAGGACTACACTGGAAAACAGGCCAAGCTCCAACATCTAGAAACAAAGGTGTTGATGGCAGCAGCACAGCTGATATTTCTCTCCAGGATGGAGTCACAGCCAAACAGGAACAGACCAGATGAAGCTACTATGAGAAAAAGCAGAGAGAGCAGAACGTTAGAGATTGAACTAACAGATTCTGCAGAGTGGGAGAATAGAGATACACTATATTGCCAAAAGTATTTGCTCACCTGCCTTGACTCACATATGAGCTTAAGTGACATCCCGTTCCTAATCCATAGGGTTCAATATGACGTCGGTCCACCCTTTGCAGCTAGAACAGCTTCAACTCTTCTGGGAAGGCTGTCCACAAGGTTTAGGAGTGTGTTTATGGGAATTTTTGACCATTCTTCCAGAAGCGCATTTGTGAGGTCGCACACTGATGTTGGACGAGAAGGCCTGGCTCTCAGTCTCCGCTCTAATTCATCCCAAAGGTGTTCTATCGGGTTGAGGTCAGGACTCTGTGCAGGCCAGTCAAGTTCATCCACACCAGACTCTGTCATCCATGTCTTTATGGACCTTGCTTTGTGCACTGGTGCACAGTCATGTTGGAAGAGGAAGGGGCCAGCTCCAAACTGTTCCCACAAAGTTGGGAGCATGGAATTGTCCAAAATGTCTTGGTATGCTGAAGCATTCAGAGTTCCTTTCACTGGAACTAAGGGGCCAAGCCCAGCTCCTGAAAAACAACCCCACACCATAATCCCCCCTCCACCAAACTTTACACTTGGCACAATGCAGTCAGACAAGTACCGTTCTCCTGGCAACCGCCAAACCCAGACCCGTCCATCAGATTGCCAGATGGAGAAGCGCGATTCGTCACTCCAGAGAACGCGTCTCCACTGCTCTAGAGTCCAGTGGCGGCGTGCTTTACACCACCGCATCCGACGCTTTGCATTGCACTTGGTGATGTATGGCTTGGATGCAGCTGCTCGACCATGGAAACCCATTCCATGAAGCTCTCTGCGCACTGTTCTTGAGCTAATCTGAAGGCCACATGAAGTTTGGAGGTCTGTAGTGATTGACTCTGCAGAAAGTTGGCGACCTCTTCGCACTATGCGCGTCAGCATCCGCTGACCCCGCTCCGTCAGTTTACGTGGCCTACCACTTCGTGGCTGAGTTGCTGTCGTTCCCAAACACTTCCATTTTCTTATAATACAGCTGACAGTTGACTGTGGAATATTTAGGAGCGAGGAAATTTCACGACTGGATTTGTTGCACAGGTGGCATCCTATCACAGTTCCACGCTGGAATTCACTGAGCTCCTGAGAGCGACCCATTCTTTCACAAATGTTTGTAAAAACAGTCTGCATGCCTAGGTGCTTGAATTTATACACCTGTGGCCATGGAAGTGATTGGAACACCTGATTCCAATAATTTGGATGGGTGAGCAAATACTTTTGGCAATATAGTGTAGAATGAAGCAGAATGAAGAAAAAGGGGTCCCTATGTCCTCCAGCAGTCTAAGCCTATAGCAGCAGAACTATAGAGATAGCTCAGGATAACCTGAGCCACTCTAACTAGAAGCTTTATCAAAAAGGAAAGTTTTAAGCCTAGCCTTAAAAGTAGACAGGGTGTCTGCCTCACGGACTAAAACTGGTAGTTGGTTCCACAGGAGAGGAGCCTGAGAACTAAAAGATCTGCCTCCCATTCTACTTTTAGAAATTCTAGGAACCACTAGTAAACCTGCAGATTGAGAGCGAAGTGCTCTGTTAGGAACATCAGGAACAATCAGATCTCTGATATCAGATGGAGCTTGGCCATTTAAGGCTTTATATGTGAGAAGGAGGATTTTAAATTCTATTCTGGATTTAACAGGAAGCCAATGAAGGGAACATTAGCCCGTCTGCGGCGGCCCTCTCTCTGCATAGCCGTGTGAAGGGCCGCTGGCTCTGATGATAATTATTATTCCCCCACTAGATGAAAAAAGTCCTAATTTATTATTATTTAGAGCAGGGGTCACCAACCTTCTACTAATACGGACCTATGAACTGGAGGAGTCAGCGTTCACCTAAACTTCATAGATAATAAACATATTTCTATTGTTTCTTTATATTTCTGATTTGCTTCTAAATATTGTCATTTTGAAATCCCTGTAAATGCTTATATGTTTTAAATTATTAATATGATGAAAGGCTCTATAAATGATAAAGCATAACAGCAGCAGCAAAAAATACCATTCAAGCTTAATCCACTGGTAAGTTGTTCTGTTTTCATAAGATGCTGAGGGCACCCCATGTGGTCCCTGAGGGCCCCTTGGTGCCCGCGGGCATCACGTTGGTGACCCCTGATTTAGAGACGATCAATAACAGGAGGCGAAATGCAGCTCCAGACTAGCTTGGAATGTGGTGATGTCGTCATCAGTGGACCCAGATTTCTGCTGCGTTCTCCCCAAGTCCAGACTTTCCTGGGTTCTTGTAAAGAACAGACTTGGCGAGAACACGAGTCTGTTCTGGCGTCCATAGTTGTTGAGAATCAGCCTGAATGTTTGTCTCCATGTTGGAAGTAGATCCTGGGCCTTCCACTCACCCCCTTCAGCTGGACACAGACAGCGTCCTAACCATGAGCCTAGAGGACGTGAAGAAAAGTTCTGCAGACCCAGATGACGTGGCTGACGGAGCGGGGAGCCACGGCGCCTGCCTGACCCTGAGCGACCACGACCGCATCAGACAGTTCATCCAGGAGTTCACCTTCAGAGGCCTGCTGCCTCACATAGAGAAGAACATCAGACAGCTGAATGACCAGGTAGCTTCCTTTACTCACAGAAACATGGCTGCATACTAACAGAACTCTGAATGATGCTGTGTCCCGCTCCTCTGATGCTCCTCTGATGCTCCTCTGATGTTCCTCAGCTGGTTTCCAGGAAAGGCCTGAGCCGCTCTCTGTTCACAGCGACTAAGAAGTGGTTTGGTGGAGGAAAAGTCCCAGAAAAGGGCGTCATTGAACCAAAGAGCACTCTGGGTCTTCAGTAAGCTCCCTCCTTTCCTCAGACGACGCTGCGGCGTGTTCGGTCGGTCCTGATGCTTTTCTGCGTCTCTGTCAGGTACCCCCCCGAAGCTCCTGAGCTGCAGATCAGGAAGATGGCCGACCTTTGCTTCCTGGTTCAGCACTATGACCTGGCCTACAGCTGTTACCACACCGCCAAGAAGGACTTCCTGTCGGACCAGGCCATGCTGTACGCGGCGGGGGCGCTGGTAAGGCACCCGTACACTGAAACGGGTCAGACGGTCTGACTCCATGGAGGCTGATCCATTTTTACAGTCGCTGGTTCTGACCTGTTTCCAGGAAATGGCGGCGGTGTCATCCTTTCTGCAGGGTGGAGCCCAGAGGCCGTATCCAGCCCACTATATGGACACTGCAATCCAGACATACAGAGATGTCTGCAAGTAAGATTGGTTAGCAGGTTGTTAGCTTAGCTTAGAACCACCCCACCTATTAGCTGTGTGCTAACCACGCCTCCCCTCCTCCACAGGAACATGGTGCTGGCGGAGCGCTGTGCCCTGCTCAGCGCAGAGATCCTGAAGAGTCAGGGGAAATACTCTGAGGCTGCAACCCTTCTGATTAAGATGACCAGTGAGGTGAGGTTCTCCATGTTTTATCGGTCCCAGCTCCAGACCGGCTGCTGAACTCTCCCACTGAGCTGCTGCTGTGTGTTGGCAGGACTCTGACCTGCGCAGCGCTCTGCTGTTGGAACAGGCCGCCCATTGCTTCATCAACATGCGGAACCCAATGGTGCGGAAGTTTGCCTTCCATATGATCCTGGCTGGTCATCGCTTCAGCAAAGCTGGACAGGTAACCTGGAGCTCGCTGCCTGTGGGGGGTGACCTGGTACCACCTGGGCCCCCATCCAGCAGGCTCTATGCCAGGCAGGAGGCATCAGTCAGAGAGCAGCAGCTGATTCACATAGTTTATTTAATTTAGCAAGATGTTGGGCTGCTGGAAAAAAGCCAACAGCGCTCTATAAAACTCTAATGACATCACTTCCTGCTGCCAGGAGGTGTTTACTCCTGGACTCTATGTTCAGCCTGAAGCCATGTATGCTAGTGATGATGACGGTGGGCAGGCAGGATTAAAATTGCCCTTAAAAAAAAAACTTCAGCTGTTATATACACATATATACGCATGTGTGTGTGTGTATGTATATGTAAATATATATATCTATGCACTACTCAAAAAAATTAAAGGATCACTTTGTAATCAGAGTAAAGCATCAAGTTAATTAAACTTGTGGGATATTGATTTGGTCAGGTCAGTAGCAGAGGGGCTGTTAATCAGTTTCAGCTGCTTTAATGTGAATGAAATGAACAACAGGTGAACTAGAGGAGCAACAATGAGACGACCATCAGAACAGGAAAGGTTTTACAGGTGGAGGACACTGACATTTTCCCCTCCTCATCTTTTCTGACTCTTTTTCACCAGTTTAGCATTTGGCTAGGGTCACTGTCACTACTGTTAGCATGAGGCGCTACCTGGACCCTACAGAGGTTGCACAGGCAGTCCAACTCCTCCAGGATGGCGCATCAATACGTGCCATTGCCAGAAGGTTTGCTGCGTCTCCCAGCACAATCTCAAGAGCATGGAGGAGATTCCAGGAGACAGGCAGTTCCTCCAGGAGAGCTGGACAGGGCTGTAGAAGGTCTACAACCCATCAGCAGGACCGCTATCTGCTCCTTTGTGCAAGGAGGAGCAGGAGGAGCACTGCCAGAGCCCTACAGAATGACCTCCAGCAGGCCACTGGTGTGAATGTCTCTGACCAAACAATCAGAAACAGACTTCACTAGGGCGGCCTGAGGGCCCCACGTCCTCTAGTGGGCCCTGTGCTGTGTGAGCCATTGGCATTTGCCACAGAACAGCGGAATTGGCAAGTCGGCCACTGTCGCCCTGTGCTTTTCACAGATGAGAGCAGGTTCACCCTGAGCACATGTGACAGACGTGAAAGGGTCTGGAGAAGCAGTGGAGAACGTTCTGCTGCCTGTAACATCGTTCATAATGACCGGTTTGGTGGGGGGTCAGTGATGGTCTGGGGAGGCATATCCATGGAGGGACGCACAGACCTATACAGGCTAGACAACACCACCCTGACTGCCATTAGGGATCAGGATGAAATCCTTGCATCCATTGTCAGACCCTCTGCTGGTGCAGTGGGTCCTGGGTTCCTCCTGGTGCACGACAATGTCTGCAGGCAGTTCCTGGAGGATGAAGGAATTGATACCATTGATTGCCCCCCCCCCCCCCCCCCCCCCCCCCCCCCCCCCCCCCCCCCCCCCCGCTCACCTGACCTAAATCCAATAGAACACCTCTGGGACATTGTTTCCATCCATCCCACGCCGCCAGGTTGCACCTCAGACTGTCCAGGAGCTCAGTGATGCCCTGGTCCAGATCTGGGAGGAGATACCCCAGATCTGGACCATTAGGAGCACGCCCCGACGTTGTCAGGCATGCATATACGCATGTGGGGGCCATACAAATGACTGAATACTATTTTGAGTTGCTGCAATGAAATTCCAGCTAAATGGACTATAGCCTGCAGCATCATTTTTTAATGTTTGGGCTGTCTCTGAGTTCAGCCCTCTGTAGGTTGATCATTTTCATTTCCATCCAATGATGCAGCATCCTTTGTTCCTAACACATCACCCAGTCCATATCAGGATAAAGAAACAGCAGGATGTTTTTTCCCACTGAGGTCTGATGTGTTTTTAAAGTGTTCCTTTCATTTTTCTGAGCAGTGTATTATATGCATCTCCTTTGACTTTTTGAACTGATGTAACGACTAAATTTCTCCACTGTGAGATCAATGAATCAGTCAATCAATGACGGAGGAGCTGCTGGTTTCTCTCTAGTTACTCAGACAGACGCCATCTTTGGAATCAGAGACTCCTCCTCATCGCTCCGTCCTTCCTGCTGCGGTTGTGTCTTTCTCCCTGCAGAGGAAACACGCGCTGCGCTGTTACAGTCAGGCCATGCAGGTCTACCAGGACCGGGGCTGGTCTCTGGCAGAGGACCACATCAACTTCACCATCGGCCGGCAGTCCTTCACCCTGGGCCAACCGGACAGCGCGCTGCTGGCCTTCAGACAGATCCTGATCAACGACAGCAGGCAGACCGCCACGCAGCAGGCCGCCTTCCTCAGAGAGTACCTGTACGTGGTGAAGGTGAGCCACAGAGACGGAGCGCTGCTGCTGGCTGAACGTTTTCACTCTGAAAGGTCATAGTGGTTCTGGGAGGCTGTCAGCGATGGCTGCTGCTCAGCTGCAGAGGCATCAGCTCAGGGATGGTTAGGATTAAAACGATCTAAAGGACAGAAGATGATTAATTGGTCTAATCAGAGACCAGAGTTTGGTTCTGGCTTTAACCGTCCGTCCTTTCAAACTTCAAAGCTTTTTACATTTTTAGATCAATCCTTATTCCTAAACAGGTGTGAAAACTTTGGGTGATTTATAGCTTAAAAACCTCTGAATTTGCAGCAGCTTCTAATCAGCTGTTAGCATAAATGTTCTGTTATGGTTTTTCTGATTGACCTCCTCCCGTTTCCTCAGAGTCTCCTCGGGGGAACGGACGGCCGCCTCCCTGAGCTCCCGCTGCCCTACATCCACAGCGCTGCTACCAGGGTCTACTTTGGACATGAACGGCGCCTCGCAGAAGGTAAGGCGTTGGCCCGGTCTCTGTGGCGCTGCAGTGTTCAGACTAGACCAGCTTCAGGAACCAGTTTAGCCTCCAGGCTCCAGATGAACCAGGATCCTTCAGACTCCATAAATAAATCAGCCATGGAGGTTTAACCAGGTTCAGCTTCCTGCTGTTATCAGTGAGATGAGACCCGATGTGAACTCTGACCTTTGGTCTGTCTGTCTAAGGAGAGAAGCAGGCAGCCACCCACGTCTCCTTGGACCAGGAGTACGACCAGGAGCTGTCCCTCCTCTGGTGCCGGCTGGAGGAGCAGCTGGTGGCCTCAGCCAATCAGGGAGTTCTTCCAAACACCTTCCAGCCGACCCAGTGCTGCCTGAACCGCCAGACCGACAACCTCCACCACCCGCTGGCTGTGGTCCAGGGTAAGATGGTCGCCACGGCGACCGACCGGTCGGCCCATCCAGTGTCTCCCCTCTGAGGGAGCCTGTTGGTTAGACGGCGTCTGACGGCTCTGTCCTCTGCTGAACAGAGCCGATCATCGTGGAGGTGACGCTCAGGAACCCCCTGAAGGTGGCGCTGCTTCTGTCCGACCTCTCCCTCCTCTGGAGGTTCACCGCCGACGCGCCTTCAGGAGGGGAGGTGACCGTCGCCAATGACGATGCGGCAGCAGGCCAGGTGAGCGTTGTGGGGGAAGCATGAGCAGAACTGTCCCTGTTCCCTCTAAGTCCTGTGTTCCTGACGCAGAGGGACGAGCCGGTGACGACAGAGACCATCAGAGAGTTCTACCTGGGGCCAGAGGAGACCAAGACGGTGAGTTTCTCATGGTCCTGCTGGTGGGGAAACTTCTGGGGTTTAGCTGCAGGTGCAGCGCTGTAACTGGATCTGGTCTTTGTGAATGAATTGGACCGGTTCCGTGGATCTCAGGCCCGACTGAAGCTGCTGCCACACAGAACAGGTCAGCTGAACATCGTGGCAGTCGTCTACAACCTGACGTCGTCCCACTTTGGAGAACCGTCCTCAGACCCTGAAGGTAAACCGCTTCCACCGGCACGGCGTGCTTCTGCCGTGAGCGCCGTTCTGATGGACCGTAAACACATGGTCCTCCTCCTCATGATGTTCTCCTGTTACAGGGCAGCAAACGTCAGAGTCCATGATGGTCCGAGGCAGGCAGGACCTGAAGATCCAGGGTCCACGGCTGAACCTGACCAAGGAAGACAAGATGCTGGTCCGACATGGTCCGGATCGCCGCCTGGAGCCCATCATCACGCCCCCTATGCCCCTGATGGAGGTAAAAACCACAGTTATTGCTTTATGTCTAACTTTAATCTGAACGCTGAGCTGGAGCAGGATAGATGCATTCACTGTTTTTAGGTAATTAGTTTTCAGTGCTTCAGATAAAACCAGTGGCTGCAAAGGGCTGAGTGGAAACGCCCTGGCTAATGGAAGGCTGGTTCATTTTTGAATAACATAACAAATGCATCTGGCTGCAGCAACTCTCCATATCAGGCAGCTCTAATCCAGCTTTTATTGCTAACTGCAGGGTGTGCAACACTAACTACAGACACACCTTCCTACGAGGGGGGAGGATTCAGTCTCATTCTGATGCCAGTCCAAACGTCGACGTTTTGGTGAATACGCTAACCTACAGAGTTAAAATGCTAATGTTGTCGCCTAAACAAGCGCATAGAATCCTCCTCTGCTCTCCTTAATCTGCCCCAACAGCCATAGGGCTGCAGGGCTGGCGGTCCTGAGGCCCAGCGGTCCTGAGGCCCGGCGGTCCAGCGGTCCTGAGGCCTGGCGGTCCTGAGGCCCGGCGGTCCTGAGGCCCCGAGGCCCGGCGGTCCAGCGGTCCTGAGGCCTGGCGGTCCTGAGGCCCGGCGGTCCGGCGGTCCTGAGGCCCGGCGGTCCGGCGGTCCAGCGGTCCTGAGGCCTGGCGGTCCTGAGGCCCGGCGGTCCTGAGGCCCGGCGGTCCTGAGGCCCGGCGGTCCTGAGGCCCGGCGGTCCAGCGGTCCTGAGGCCTGGCGGTCCTGAGGCCCGGCGGTCCTGAGGCCCGAGGCCCGGCGGTCCAGCGGTCCTGAGGCCTGGCGGTCCTGAGGCCCGGCGGTCCGGCGGTCCTGAGGCCCGGCGGTCCGGCGGTCCAGCGGTCCTGAGGCCCGGCGGTCCTGAGGCCCGGCGGTCCTGAGGCCCGGCGGTCCTGAGGCCCGGCGGTCCTGAGGCCCGGCGGTCCTGAGGCCCGGCGGTCCTGAGGCCCGGCGGTCCAGCGGTCCTGAGGCCTGGCGGTCCAGCGGTCCTGAGGCCCGGCGGTCCAGCGGTCCTGAGGCCCGGCGGGCCAGCGGTCCTGAGGCCTGGCGGTCCAGCGGTCCTGAGGCCCGGCGGTCCTGAGGCCCGGCGGTCCGGCGGTCCTGAGGCCCGGCGGTCCCGAGGCCCGGCGGCCCGGCGGTCCTGAGGCCCGGCGGTCCCGAGGCCCGGCGGTCCGGCGGTCCTGAGGCCCGGCGGTCCTGAGGCCCGGCGGTCCGGCGGTCCTGAGGCCCGGCGGTCCGGCGGTCCGGCGGTCCTGAGGCCCGGCGGTCCTGAGGCCCCGAGGCCCGGCGGTCCGGCGGTCCTGAGGCCCGGCGGTCCTGAGGCCCGGCGGTCCCGAGGCCCGGCGGTCCGGCGGTCCTGAGGCCCGGCGGTCCTGAGGCCCGGCGGTCCTGAGGCCCGGCGGTCCGGCGGTCCTGAGGCCCGGCGGTCCTGAGGCCCGGCGGTCCTGAGGCCCGGCGGTCCTGAGGCCCGGCGGTCCGGCGGTCCTGAGGCCCGGCGGTCCTGAGGCCCGGCGGTCCGGCGGTCCTGAGGCCCGGCGGTCCTGAGGCCCGGCGGTCCAGCGGTCCTGAGGCCCGGCGGTCCTGAGGCCCTGAGGTCCTGAGGCCCGGCGGTCCAGCGGTCCCGAGGCCCGGCGGTCCTGAGGCCCGGCGGTCCTGAGGCCCGGCGGTCCTGAGGCCCGGCGGTCCCGAGGCCCGGCGGTCCCGAGGCCCGGCGGTCCCGAGGCCCGGCGGTCCTGAGGCCCGGCGGTCCGGCGGTCCTGAGGCCCGGCGGTCCTGAGGCCCGGCGGTCCAGCGGTCCTGAGGCCCGGCGGTCCTGAGGCCCTGAGGTCCTGAGGCCCGGCGGTCCTGAGGCCTGGCGGTCCAGCGGTCCTGAGGCCCGGCGGTCCAGCGGTCCTGAGGCCCGGCGGTCCTGAGGCCCGGCGGTCCAGCGGTCCTGAGGCCCGGCGGTCCAGCGGTCCTGAGGCCCGGCGGTCCTGAGGCCTGGCGGTCCAGCGGTCCTGAGGCCTGGCGGTCCAGCGGTCCTGAGGCCCGGCGGTCCTGAGGCCCGGCGGTCCTGAGGCCTGGCGGTCCAGCGGTCCTGAGGCCTGGCGGTCCAGCGGTCCTGAGGCCTGGCGGTCCAGCGGTCCTGAGGCCCGGCGGTCCAGCGGTCCTGAGGCCCGGCGGTCCTGAGGCCCGGCGGTCCAGCGGTCCTGAGGCCCGGCGGTCCTGAGGCCTGGCGGTCCAGCGGTCCTGAGGCCCGGCGGTCCTGAGGCCCGGCGGTCCAGCGGTCCTGAGGCCCGGCGGTCCCGAGGCCCGGCGGTCCAGCGGTCCTGAGGCCCGGCGGTCCCGAGGCCCGGCGGTCCTGAGGCCCGGCGGTCCCGAGGCCCGGCGGTCCCGAGGCCCGGCGGTCCCGAGGCCCGGCGGTCCAGCGGTCCCGAGGCCCGGCGGTCCCGAGGCCCGGCGGTCCAGCGGTCCCGAGGCCCGGCGGTCCCGAGGCCCGGCGGTCCCGAGGCCCGGCGGTCCAGCGGTCCTGAGGCCCGGCGGTCCCGAGGCCCGGCGGTCCAGCGGTCCTGAGGCCCGGCGGTCCCGAGGCCCGGCGGTCCTGAGGCCCGGCGGTCCCGAGGCCCGGCGGTCCCGAGGCCCGGCGGTCCAGCGGTCCCGAGGCCCGGCGGTCCCGAGGCCCGGCGGTCCAGCGGTCCCGAGGCCCGGCGGTCCCGAGGCCCGGCGGTCCAGCGGTCCTGAGGCCCGGCGGTCCCGAGGCCCGGCGGTCCAGCGGTCCCGAGGCCCGGCGGTCCCGAGGCCCGGCGGTCCAGCGGTCCTGAGGCCCGGCGGTCCCGAGGCCCGGCGGTCCAGCGGTCCTGAGGCCCGGCGGTCCCGAGGCCCGGCGGTCCAGCGGTCCCGAGGCCCGGCGGTCCCGAGGCCCGGCGGTCCCGAGGCCCGGCGGTCCCGAGGCCCGGCGGTCCCGAGGCCCGGCGGTCCCGAGGCCCGGCGGTCCCGAGGCCCGGCGGTCCCGAGGCCCGGCGGTCCAGCGGTCCCGAGGCCCGGCGGTCCCGAGGCCCGGCGGTCCCGAGGCCCGGCGGTCCCGAGGCCCGGCGGTCCCGAGGCCCGGCGGTCCTGAGGCCCGGCGGTCCCGAGGCCCGGCGGTCCGGCGGTCCTGAGGCCCGGCGGTCCTGAGGCCCGGCGGTCCCGAGGCCCGGCGGTCCCGAGGCCCGGCGGTCCCGAGGCCCGGCGGTCCCGAGGCCCGGCGGTCCCGAGGCCCGGCGGTCCGGCGGTCCTGAGGCCCGGCGGTCCAGCGGTCCTGAGGCCCGGCGGTCCTGAGGCCCGGCGGTCCTGAGGCCTGGCGGTCCAGCGGTCCTGAGGCCCGGCGGTCCTGAGGCCCGGCGGTCCAGCGGTCCTGAGGCCTGGCGGTCCAGCGGTCCTGAGGCCCGGCGGTCCTGAGGCCCGGCGGTCCTGAGGCCTGGCGGTCCAGCGGTCCTGAGGCCCGGCGGTCCTGAGGCCCGGCGGTCCAGCGGTCCTGAGGCCCGGCGGTCCTGAGGCCCGGCGGTCCAGCGGTCCTGAGGCCCGGCGGTCCTGAGGCCCGGCGGTCCTGAGGTCCTGAGGCCCGGCGGTCCTGAGGCCCGGCGGTCCTGAGGCCCGGCGGTCCAGCGGTCCTGAGGCCCGGCGGTCCTGAGGCCCGGCGGTCCTGAGGCCCGGCGGTCCAGCGGTCCTGAGGCCCGGCGGTCCTGAGGCCCGGCGGTCCAGCGGTCCTGAGGCCCGGCGGTCCTGAGGCCCGGCGGTCCTGAGGTCCTGAGGCCCGGCGGTCCTGAGGCCCGGCGGTCCAGCGGTCCTGAGGCCCGGCGGTCCAGCGGTCCTGAGGCCCGGCGGTCCTGAGGCCCGGCGGTCCAGCGGTCCTGAGGCCCGGCGGTCCTGAGGCCCGGCGGTCCAGCGGTCCTGAGGCCCGGCGGTCCTGAGGCCCGGCGGTCCTGAGGTCCTGAGGCCCGGCGGTCCTGAGGCCCGGCGGTCCTGAGGCCCGGCGGTCCAGCGGTCCTGAGGCCCGGCGGTCCTGAGGCCCGGCGGTCCTGAGGCCCGGCGGTCCAGCGGTCCTGAGGCCCGGCGGTCCTGAGGCCCGGCGGTCCAGCGGTCCTGAGGCCCGGCGGTCCTGAGGCCCGGCGGTCCTGAGGTCCTGAGGCCCGGCGGTCCTGAGGCCCGGCGGTCCAGCGGTCCTGAGGCCCGGCGGTCCTGAGGCCCGGCGGTCCTGAGGCCCGGCGGTCCTGAGGCCCGGCGGTCCAGCGGTCCTGAGGCCCGGCGGTCCTGAGGCCCGGCGGTCCAGCGGTCCTGAGGCCCGGCGGTCCTGAGGCCCGGCGGTCCAGCGGTCCTGAGGCCCGGCGGTCCTGAGGCCCGGCGGTCCTGAGGTCCTGAGGCCCGGCGGTCCTGAGGCCTGGCGGTCCTGAGGCCTGGCGGTCCTGAGGCCTGGCGGTCCTGAGGCCTGGCGGTCCAGCGGTCCTGAGGCCTGTCAGCTGATTTAAATAGTTGTTTAATCAGCCATGAAGTTAGTTTATGATAAGAAATGAGGCCTAAATCTCTGAAACAATTAAACCTTCTAACGTATTTTCTGGACTATATGGCGCATAGAAAAGCATTTAACTTTTAACAAACGGCAGTGTGCCTTGTAATCTATAGCGCCTCTTATATGGATCTATTATTCAGTCCAGACTAGGGGTGTAAAGAATAATCGATCCAACAGCCGACGACGGAGGGACATGAGGACCAAAAAGAGCGTACATCCAGGTGGAAAAAGGGTCCCAGCGTTCTCGCGCACCTCGCTCTTCTAGCGGGTCAAACTTCACGAGTTGTTTTCCACAATTTCGGTCATAAAAACAAAGCAAGCCGGCCTCCTGTCTGCGGTCAGCTACAATCTGGGAGAGGAGCAGCGGAGCGTCTGTGGGGGGGCCGGGACATCTAGAGCCGAGGTATTGCATTGCACTCATTGCACTGATTATCTGCAGTATTTTCTGATGCAAGGCCTTTCAGAATCTATAACGCAGAGGGATTATTATTATTCCAGTGAATGAGGTTTTAATAGGAATAGGTGGAGTAAAACTTCTCTACTTCTGTTATTTGCTGTTGTTTCTCAAAAAAAATGCGTAACGTTATTACAGCTTTCATTGATTTATTTAGAAATTCGAAACATTGTCTAGCCTGTAAGGTTGAAAAAAAAAATGAACCAATTCATCGAATCGAATCGTATCGTGGTGTATTCTTGAGTATCGAGAATAATCGAATTGTTGGGTCAGGAAATCGATACTGAATGAATCGCCATGATGGGTGTGATTTATACCCCTAGTCCATACCGGTTGTACTCAGGGCTCTGATGAAATGTTTAAGTACCAGTGCATAGCCCAGATCATAGCCAGGTACTCCCCACTCCATGCAGTAAAATGCCTCCCTGTGCAGCATCTGTCTGCAGGAAGACGTTCCACTGGTAATTTCCCAGTCAGTGGATGAACTAAGCAATAAATCCATCTATAGCCGATGGATCCTATAGTTTAGTCTGCAGACTAACATTAGTCTGTAGACTAACATTAGTCTGGCTATCTCAGTCTGACTGGAAGACATTGACTGAGTTAGACACTGACATTGGGTCTAAGGTTAGAAAATAGAAAGTAGAGGAAATGGAAAGTAATTCACTGAGAAATGTTAATGTAGTGGATCTTTATTTAGTGGATGATGCTGTAGTTTTCGGAGTGTTTGGTTTATTTCTCATTTGAAAAACTCATGAACTGAAATATATTACAGGTTATATTGATGATAAAAGCAGCTGAAACCTTTTTAAAGGCTAATGAACAGAAACAGCATAAAGTCTACGGCTTCATTCATTCACCATCTGCAGAAAATACTGCAGCATTAACAGACATGGAGCGGTCATTCAGTCCTGAGGTGAAATCTTTAAATTATCTGTAATATTTACAGATATATAACAACAATGTCATCAATCCATGTTTATTACATGAACATAATCAATTTATCACTTTTGGCTCATCTGGATTATTCTGCTCCATTAACACATTAATGTTATTGTGATTTATTTATATAAGATGATTCATAGACGTCATAATGACTGCAATGTGATCGGCCTGTTTATTTATTTATTTTATTTATTCTAAGTTAAAGTTAATCTACTGATGCTATCAAACAGCCAGTCTGTGTCAAAGTGATGAATTTATCTTTATTTTTAGTCTTCAGTCCCTGAAGATGAGAACATCCTGGTTGTTTGATGCTGCAGAGCATCGATTGTTTACATCGCAACCTGTCAACTAGGGAGTACCAATATGGCGGCCTGTGGCTTCACTTCAGCCCTGCACTACCAGCAGCTATCAGCCATCCAGTGAATAGAGATCAGTGGAACAGACTCAGCTTTTTTTACCAACAGGAAGTCTTCCCGTGTTTGAAGAACCCGCCATTTTCATCTAGTAGAGGCATTAATGGATGCCGTCTGAACGTGGATCAATAAAAAGTTGTGCGTTTGTGTGTGCAGGTGTTCTTCCTGCAGTTCCCCACCGCTCTGCTGTGTGGTGAGATCAAAAAAGCTTACGTGGAGTTCTGTAACGTCAGCGCAGTAGCTCTGTGCGGCCTCTGGGTGGCGTCCACGCACCCTGACTTCTTCACGTTCGGCAGCCAGGACGCCGCCACCCCGCCGAGCCCAGCCTCCTCTGAGAACTGCTCGGCTTACGTCACCGTTCACGCACCCCCCCAGCCAGGAGCCCCGGCCCCCGAGACGCTGGTGTCCGCCCCTGACTTCAGCCAGGCCTCCGGGGTGATGGAGATCCCCATCAGAGGCGGCACACTGCAGCCAGGGGAGTCCGTACAGCTGCCTCTGTGGCTCCGAGGACCAGACCAGGAAGGAGTCCATGAAATCAACTTCCTGTTCTACTATGAGAGCTCAGAGAAAAGCCTCAGAAGCAGGTGTACAACTTCACCCTCCTTTGTTATGGAGGAGGAAGGGAGGGAGGGATGATGGATGGATGGATTGATGGATGGGGGGGTGGGTGGATGGATGATGGATGGATAGATGATGGATGGATGGATGGATGGATGGATGGATGGATGGATGGATGGGTGGATGATTGATGATGGATGGGGGGGGTGGGTGGATGATGGATGGATGGATGATGGATGGGGGGGGTGGGTGGATGATGGATGGATGGATGATGGATGGGGGGGTGGATGATGGATGGATGGATGGATGATGGATGGATGGATGGATGGATGATGGATGGATGGAGGATGGATGGATGATGGATGGGGGGGTGGGTGGATGATGGATGGGGGGTGGATGATGGATGGATGGATGGATGGATGATGGATGGATGGATGGGTGGATGATGGGTGGATGGATGATGGATGGATGGAGGATGGATGGATGGGTGGATGATGGAGGATGGATGATTGATGGATGGTGGATGATGGAGGATGGATGATGGATGGATGGATGGATGGATGGGTGGATGATTGATGATGGATGGGGGGGGTGGGTGGATGATGGATGGATGGATGATGGATGGATGGATGGATGATGAATGGATGGATGGATGGATGATGGATGGATGGATGGGTGGATGGGTGGATGATGGATGGATGGATGATGGATGGATGGATGGGTGGGTGGATGATTGATGGATGGATGGTGGATGGATGGATGGATGGATGGATGGATGGATGGATGATTGATGGATGGATGGATGATTGATGGATGATGGATGGATGGGTGGGTGGGTGGATGATTGATGGATGGATGAAGGATGGATGATGAATGGATGGATGGGTGGATGGGTGGATGATGGA